GTGTACTCCAGACTTTGTTTTATATCTGTGCCAAATTTCAATAAGATATGTTGAACCGTTGCAGAATGATCGAGTAAACATTAAGAAACTGAATTATTATTAGTAAGATTACGTGGACGAAGTCGCTGGTAACAGCTAGTATTCGATAATTATAATTTTCAAAACTCTTTGAGTTCGTTACGCATTGACGCACATCATAAGGCATGTTTTCCATTGTGCTGTTTGTTTTTGAATCTCTTCGCATTCTTTATTATTTAGATTTCAAACTGTAAACATTAACAACTACATTTGTTTACCTGTTTTAGTAAACAATTATGTTTAAGAAAAGTATATGAGTATAGCATCCGGCTTTGCTTGTAAATAGTGGATATTTAATTAGCAATAATTATAATAGACTCTAATACTTTATTATTTATTTTTATAGACGTAACTGTTTCTTAATTGTTGTATTTGATAAAATATAATATTAGTTATACTTCACTCTGTGGAACTCGTTATGTGGAATTTACATACATACAAACCTATTTATATTAACTTACGAGCGAAAAAAAATACTCTCATAGTTTGAAAGGATAAAATCTCATGTTCAAAGATCCTTCTGTTTCTATAACAATATTCTTTACATGTATTCAAGTGCCAAGCTAACATACTAATATTATAAAGAGGAAAAAATTACATTTTTGTATGTATTGAAATAACTCAATAACTACTGGGCCGATTTTAAAAATTCTTTCACCTTAAAATCTACGTTATCAGTAAGTAACATAAGCTATTTTTTGTATTCTTTTTTTTTAAATTTTAAGCGGACTAAGTCGGTAGCAACAGCTAGTCTATAATATAATAAAGAGGAAAGATTCACATTTTTGTGTGTTGAAATAACTTAAAAACTACTAGGCCGAATTTAAAAATACTTTCACCATTAAAAATCTACGTTATTAGTGAGTAACATAGGCTATATTTCTTTTTATTTCACGTGGACAAAGTCACGAATACATGAATAACATACTTTTATCGTTGTTGATAGAATTTGTTTACGTAAATTACGCTTAGGTTATGTTACATTAATATGTTTTTGAACGCAAACTTCTGTTTACAGCGGCCGGCACGTCTAACGTAACGTAAATCCTAACATTATATAAATCATATAAATTAAGAACATTACAGTGTGTACTATGCCTTATTCTAAACTTGGCACAACACGAGATATCAAAACTACTTGAATGTGCCTCCAATTTTTAGACAAACGAGCAAGTGGTTATGAGAATTATCGGAATAGGGAATCGAGTACTGTAATAGACATTCACAAAAGCTGCATTGTCTATCTCTAATCAATGGAGGGGACGCACTAAAAGAGGTTATTTCATCTTCCTAGACGTCCCGTACGTCAAATCCACGTCCAAATCCCGTCCTTTGCTTATAAAGTGGGAAAGAAAAGAGAACTAAAATTATGTTTCATCCGAAACGCGAATTGACATCCACATGCCTATTGTCTTCTGTCGTGATATTGCACACGATTCATGTAATGTTGCTTCTACCAGTTAAATCATTACCTATAACTATCATACGTGAGCTATACCAAAGTCTATGGCCTGCATTGGTACACATACCTTGCGCACAGTCGGGGAAACTGGCGGTGTTCTACCTTTAAAGCTACAATCGTTTGAACATTTTGAAAACAGAACAAAAATCAATACAATGCAGCTTAACAATGTGTCTGTACGAAAAATAATTAGTTAGATTAGTGATACACAGTTTTTTTTATAATATAAGGTAACAAAATAGCAAGCGGCCACCTGAATCCACCGAAATGGAAAGCGACCGCTGCTCATAAACATCCCCAGTTCCAGATGCGTTGCCTACTCTTAATTGACGGAAGACGAGATGCACATAAAGAGGACATTTCCACTTCCTATGCGTCTCCTCCACCGTCAAATCCACTTTTCCTTCCAATCCTTTCCTCTTAAGAAAAGGGTGGAAAGGGAAAGCGATTAAAATTAGGCCTCTGGCACCACACTCATCAGATGAAACGCGGAATTGCTTCCACTTCACGACTGTTTTCTGTGTGGTTTGTTTTTATTGTTATTCCTTTGTTTGCACTCAGTGACATCTAATTAGTTATTTGTAGAAGCGAAGTTTGTCTCCCAATTTTTCCTAAAGTTCGACACCGCGGGTTTTCGCGACTGTACAAAGACCTTATAATAAAGGGGTCAATGGTGAGTCCAGGATTATTTTAAACCATACAAATGCGTCAGATCCGAACATAAATTTAGTACACAAATACAGTTCTGAAATACGTACAAATCAAATTTAATAACTTGTAAAATTTATCGGCCGGAAGTTTTCGAAATAAAAACTGGGTAGTTTATTCGATAACAATAAAACTTTCATCAAAAGAATTCTAGGAAAATGTAGGTGTGTTGATATTAATTTTTGTTAGTGTAAACGTCCGGTTTTTTTGTTTTGTTTGTCTAAGACATCTTTGTATAACTCTGAAAAAATTTGACAAACCTAATTGACTTTTAATAGGTAATAAACTAACAAAATATAACATCACACATTATTTAGGCAATAATTAACTCTCTTTGACTTTTTTTAGTTTCACTTTGATTCCTATAATGATGCACACACTACTCGATTTTTAGTTGTGCAACTAAACAGTTGAATGGGCTGCGAAACAATTTACACGCACAACAGTTGTGCGATAGTTTAGTCAAATGTACCCGCTCTTACATTAGAGTTTATATTCCCATATTTACATTACAGACAGAAATTGTGATATTTTTATTCTCGACATCCGCCGTTACTCGCGCGGATCAAAACTTTGTAAAGTGAATTAAACCATGTTGTCTTATACAAACGGAAATTATTTCTTATACAATTAATGCATTATTGAACAATGAATCTCTTGTCATAATTTCAGTTAAATTTGACAATACATAATACGTACATCTTACATACTTATGTTGTATATACAAAAGTTTAGATGGATGTTTGTTAGAGTTTGTAGCCTAAACGG